CTGATTAAAATTTTTTTTGGCCAACATAAAAGTCTCTCTAGTAATCACATTGATTATTCCTGCAGTGGGCCAATATCCACATTGTTTCCTTTTTAGTCTTCCTGTTTAGCCCTTTGGTAGCCACCAACTTGATTCCTTTTTCTATCTCTATTTTTCTAATTCTTTCTTACTTTATGTTTTTGGTCTCTTCTAAAATCTCTTCTTTTTTGTCTTTACCTTCTTAGGTCCACAAATTTGCCTACTCAACCTTTTCTTATCAGATTCTTAATTTCATTCTTTAGATTAATGCATTTCTCATTGTTGTGATCGTAGTCTCTATAAAAGGCACTTCTTTTTGTCGAATATCTTCTACTGTTCAATCTTAATGGCTTAAGCCATTTAAGCTTAGGGTCCCTTTTAATATGCATCAAAATCCTTTTAAGAGAGATATTCAGTGTAATGTATTTACTATGTCGTTGGCTTAGGCTTCTAACCATAAGGTACTCTTCTATTTTCTTTTCTTTAAAAGATTGTAGATTTATTTTCCTTTTTGTGAGTTAAAGACATGGAATAAGTCTCTCTCACTTTTATTGCTTTTCATTATAACTTTAGCATTGAGGTACTTTACGGTGATGAGTAAGACATCAACCAAAATCTTCAGTGGCTCTAAGGAAAGAATGAGCATGAAATGGTATTTTTAGTCGTTGAGCCCCTTAGTCAAGGCAACCACTGTAGTGGTTTGTTCTAAGTTCTTGACCTGAAGAGCTTTAGTGTTAAAACGCATGACATACTTTTTTAGAGATTCATTTTAACCCCAGTAGATTGACATCAGACTCAGTGTCATTTTTTTTGCTCATTGGCTACTGATGAACCTGGATAAAAAAAATTGATTGACCTTTTTGAAGGTGGTGATTGACCTCATCTCCAAACTACTATACCAAGACCAAACTACCCTTCAAATGTCATAGCCAATCTTTTGCACATAAGAACTTTATCGACTTCTTGTATCATCATGTTAGTCCGATAAAGCTCTAAATGATAAAAAAGGTTACATGCACCATCATAGGTATCTAATGTTGGCATCTCAAATCCTTTCAGTCGTACATCCTAGTCAATCTCCTCTATAAAAGGGGAAGTCTCTTGGTACTTTAGCTCATCATCAAAAGTGGAGGCTTTGTTCTTGAGTTTTTTCTCCATTGTCTCTATCTAAGTTTCAAATCTTTCTTTGTTTGTGGTTTCGAGGTGGCTTATTTAGATTTTTAGATAGTGACTTTGTGTGTAACTGTATGTGGGGTAATAGGTCATAGGTGTTTCTTCTTCATCATTAGATGTCGACAAAGCTATAGTGTCATCATAACTTGACAATTTTTTGGAGTGGTTTGGTCAGGTGCTTTTAAAGTTTACGATAGGGTTAGATTTTGGATCATTTCCTTGAAGGATTAAAGCTGTTAGGTGAATGCTTGAAATTGTTCCATAGCAGGGCCTATTACTATAAGTTGGTTAGGGTTGAGTTGGCTGAGCTGGGTTTATATTCCAACAGAAACAATTTTTTTTCTCAACAACTCTATTTTTGGGTGGTATTTTAGCTCGGCTATATGAAAATGCCCCTTCTTGAAGCATTAAATGTTTATGCCTAGCTATCCTGAAGGGTAAAACTTTGAAAACATAGGAGAGAGAAAAAAAGCGATTAACAACAAAGGCTGAGGGTGGCCTTGGCGTTTATACTACAACATTCAAGTTAGAGATCAATTTATGAGTGGAATAGGAAGTAGATAACACTTAAGGTTTAGAAAAAGCATGATGGTTAAAGGTACCCAAATGGTGCTATTTATACTTGTGAGATTAGGGTTTTGGTCCTAGACGACTCATGATTAGTTCTAGGGGACTAGCGCTAACCTCATAACCTAGAGTTAAGCTAGTTGTTAACTGTCCACTCAAAGCATGATAAGTTAGCATCTAAGGCACTAATATATAAATTGTTAATGTGATTGAGTTGACATAAATTTGTGAATTTATGTTGATTTGATATATTAGCTCGATTAAAATGATCAAAGTACCTTTGATTGTCAATTGACTCGTACTAAATAAGAAAAAAATCTGTTTTGCCATTTGGATAATAAAATATCCCTAACAATTGTCTTTAAGAAAATATTTTTCATGTTTCAAAATCAAAGTTTTTTTTTTATTATTTATATTTCCTTATTTGTTTTTTCTAACAAATTCAATACAACTAAAAAATTAAAATAAAATAAAAAATCCTTTGGATACTTGGACTGTGACAATCTGACTAGTCTCGTTAACAAGACCATTGTAGCTCGGACAGGGTCAACCGATGAGCAGGATTCAGGGTCAACCTTCTTTAAGAAATTCAGCCTCGGCCCACCAATTCTTTTCACACTAGAATGTTAGCCTCCCCGTATTAAAAACGGGGTTCCACCCCTTTGATTAGTGAATTTTCCTCCGTCCATTAAAGAAAAGTCAAAATAGGAAACCATTTTATCATCATAAAAATAAATATAATATTACTAGTTTAATTTTTTTTTGTCTCATTTCAACTTTCTAAGTCTTAGGATGAAGTCTTTTTTTTTTTTTTTTCACTTTTAAACATCTTATATTCTTATTTTTATATTTAAAATTTATTTTTAAATTTTAATTTTTTGACCATAAAAAATAGTACATCAATATCATTAAAAAATTAAATTTATAATGTTTAATACATAATAATGAATTTTTTAATATACATTAAAGTAAATATTATTACTTGAAATGAGATTGAAAGAGTATATATTTTTAAGAGAATAATTAAGTGTTAATCGAGCATTAAATGATATGATATGTGATATTATTTTTTTAAAGTTACCAATTCGAAATTCAAGCACATAATATCTTTATCAAATGTTGTTTTGGTTACTATAAAATTAGTATATAACAGTAATATTTTTCAAATATGAATATGTTAACACAAATACCAACTCTATTGTATTCCATATATCACAAATATAATCTTCACGAAGAATAATGCCAAAAAAAAAAAAAAAATCTTCGCAAAGAATGTGTTCTATGCATTATTTTTATTTTTAATTGAATTGTTACTACTAAAATGGTAATAATTGTTGCAGGGCTTCTATTTGCACCATTTTTTTTTCAAACCTTTTCAAAATTATCTTCAAACGAAATTATTTAATTATTTTTTTAAAAAAATTTTAATTTTTTAAATATAAAAATTTTTAAAATTTCTAAATTCACATAATCCTAAACTTTTAAAAGTTTTCAACTCTAATATCATTTAAGTGGCTTAAAAATTTTATTAGGAATATCAATCATTTCCTCTTTCATGTATTGTTGAAATTAAGAAAAAATTCAAAAACAGGTACAGATCTACTAGGAGATAGTGGGAGAACTGCCCCACTAAGTTCCTCAATTCTTTTATGTTTATTATAAAAAAACCTCAAAAATTTTTAAAAATTCAAAGCTTTGCCCCCAATAATAATCTTTTATCAAAATTGCCCTGTTAAATTAAGGTTTTAAATGTTTTATTGTTTATGTAGTAATTGAACGTTGTCACTTCGGGTACTAAGCGATTTCATTATGATAATATATATTTAAGTTTGTAAAAAAAAACAATTAAATTATTTTTAAAAAGTTTGGAATTGTTAAATTTTAAATTCCTCCTAATAATTTATTCGGATTGATATAATGTAATTTTATAGGATAATAACTCCAAAAGTGCATATTATTTAAATGATTTTAATTTCTTTATCACGATATATATATATATATATCTATAATGTGAAGTAATAAAAATAAAAAATCATCTTTTAACTAACATAGATTTATATTTTCATTTTTCTTTTCATTGAATGAACGAAAATATGTATTTTTTATTCTCCAAATTTTTATGAATAAGAAATAAAATATATTTGTGTATTAAAAGTAAATAATAATACTAAATATATTAAAAATGAATAACAAAAATAGATATGTTGCTTTTTATTTGTTCTTTCACATCTTATATCTATTTTTAAGAAATTTATAATTAAAGTTTTATTAAACTAATATATATATGTATATGTTGAAAGGTAATTTATTTAATTATGTTTAGGTTATATTCGTCAAGTTAATAGACAAGTTAATATGATATAATTTACTAAATATGCATAACTAAGTTATTTAATTTATTGAATTTTCATATTTAAATATAACTTATCGGATATAAATATTTAAATATTTTTAAAAATAAAAATAATAATTAACTAATTTTTTATATGATAATTTTGAAAAAACAATGGAGGTGTAGAAAGAAAAATCTGGATGAAAATAAAAGCTTCATAATTGTTAAACCAAATAACATAAAAAATTATTTAATTTGAAATTTTGTATACTTCTTCTTTAAATAAAACATGGAATATGTTTTCATTTAGTTTTTTTTTTTTTTTTCTGAAAAATTATGTTAATAGACAAGCATGATTTTTTAATAGACTAAAATACTAAAACAAACTTTGAGCTATTTCATTTTTTAAATAAGTTTTCATATTTTTCTTATCTTAAAATAATATTTTATTTTTTGATTTATATAAAAATAAATCTTTATTTTAAACAAAAATTGATTTATATTTAAAGTTTATTTATATATAAATTAAATGTTAAAATTTTATTTGATACAAATTAAAAGTTAAAACTTTATTTTAATACAAATTAAAGTTCAAATTTTATTTATATGTAATAAAAATATAAAAATATATTTAAATAAAATAATAAAATTTAGGGATTTTTTTTCTTCCTTTAGCCTTTTTTAATATTATTGTTTGGTCAGCGAAACCATCGTCACAGCCTGTCATAGAAATTTTTTTTAGGTTAAAGATTAAAAACCAGAGAAACTTCTGCCTAACTCCATCGTTCTTCATTTAGTTTTCAATTGAAAATTAAAAAGTCCAATTTGATTGTAAAGACTAACACAAAAGCTGACGAAAAGCCAAAATTGAAAAAAGATAAAAACAAGAGAGAAAAAGAAAAGCAAAGACCTTCACCAAAGTCCAAGAGAAAGCTCAGAAAAAAATTTAGTCATTCTTCATATAAACATTCTACGAATTCAACCTCTATCTCTCTGTCTCTCTTCTGCTTGGTCTTTTTTGTTTGGTAAGATCCTCAATCCCAAATCCCTTCAAGGATTTCGTTGTTATTCCTTTTTTTTTTTTTTTTTTTTTGGTGATGTGCGGTTTTATTGGTTTGATCACTTGGGGCAAGAATGTTATTCAAGCTTGCGTTTATATTTCAATTACTATCAAATTTATTGATTTTGTTTCTGGGTTTTGTTGTTTCTCTATGATAAGTGTGGTATTAAAGGATATTTATATTTTATTGGGTAATTCTGGGGTTTGATTGCTTGGTATCCTTTCTATCAACTTTTTATTTCTGTATAGATTGTTATTAGTCTTGTGGGTGTTATAGTTTCTTTTAATTGCAAAATTGGTTTTATTGATGATCATTTTCTAGAGCTGATTTTGATGACCGTTCACCTATCAATTAGATATGATCTTCAGTTATTTAAATTTAAGTCGTAAATTTTGCCTCAAACGCATGATATTGAATGATTTTCTGATTGATTTTGGTGTTGGCTGTGCTTATAGAATAATCAGGGATTTGATCTTTACAAAAGAGGCAGGTACTCATGGCTAATAGTGCAGCAGCATGTGCTGAGAGGGCAACTAGTGATATGCTGATTGGTCCAGATTGGGCTGTAACTATTGAGCTATGTGACATTATAAACATGGATCCAGGGTATCGTTCTTTTTATTTCTCAGTTTGATGGCCTTTTCACTGTACTTTGTTCATGTCTACTCTTATATGCATTTTAGTACCTGTAATTGTGATTTGGGAATTGGATTGTTTGAATTACTTGTAAGCAGAAGTAGTTTTACTTGGAATTATGTGACTTGTGGTATAAGTGATTGTAATGCACTTTCGTAGGATGCTTCACTATAATTCAGTTATTGTTCAATAAGGAAAGAGGTGGAGCTTGGAGGGAGATCGCTGGGTTAAGTTGATTTGTTCTGCCATTTCTATTGATGAGAGCTTGGCTTCCCAGCTTCAATTATAGAATAGCTTGGCTAAAAAATGCTGATGGCAAGTTGTCATGACATGATTTGTTAAAGAGTGAGACCTGCAATCCCTTCCCGTATTCCCAGGCTGCAACCTTCTTTGTACCAAAAAAGAAAGAGAGTGATGAAGGGAAGGAGGATGGAAGTGATAGATTTTTGGATCTTTTGAGTATGATACCTTGTGCATCTTGTAAAGAAGAGGAAAAGAAATCTTAGGGGGAAATTTATATGCCATGAGTGAGTTATGGAGGGAGAGATTTTTCAAATCCTGTATGTGGTGTGGCTTTAAGGAGAAGAAGAGGAGGAGTTTTAGGGCATACGTATACTTGTACCCTACTCTTTAACTCCTTTTATCTTAACTATCCAGGTGAAAATTTTGAATAGACTGTGAAGGAAATGTTAAGGCAAATAGCCTTGTTGAAAATCACACCTGACTGCATGTAGTGTAGGGCCATATGTTTCAGCCTTGCTATTCTGCATTCTCTTGGAAGTCTATTATTTCTTATATATGTCTATGTGACACTCTTAATTTGTCCTTCTTTCCTCTAATTCTCTCTCTCTCTATCATTTTATTCAGCTTTAATGTCTTTGTTGTACACTTTGTGTCCCTGGGTTGTGCTTGGGGTTGTAATTATCTCTTTTACTAGGAAAAGCATTGAAGGATTCGTGGTGTATACTATTTTCAACTTTTTAATTTTAGGTATGATTTTGTGCTTCCAAGGGGTTTTGCATAGACCTGCAGCATCCTCTCTGAAAGTTGTATGGTTGTCCTGCAATGGTGTTGAATTCACTGCTGCCTTGTTGTAACTTGATCCTACTCTCTTATTTGCATTCACTGATGCATGGGGGATCCTAAATTATCAGGATTTCAATGAAATTTTAGTTGAGTTCATTGACATTCTCTTTTTGTCTATTGCAGGCAAGCTAAGGATGCTTTAAAAGTCCTCAAGAAGCGACTGGGCAGTAAAAATCCAAAAATACAGCTACTAGCTCTTTTTGTGAGTTACATTTTTCTCCCCTTGTTCATATATTTTAGCTATAGCCCTTTGGGATATTTTATTTGAAGTCACCTCTTATGGTGTAATAATATGTGTAAGTAGGTTGTCTTTAATTATTTACTTTAATCATGTGGTCTCAAGTGACTATTAACTTGGTGCCATCCTGTGTTTTTCCTTAGTTTCACATGATGATAAAGAAGTAATACAATACCATATATCTGATATATTGGTGCAGGTATTGGATTCTCTCAGCAAAAATTGTGGTGAAAATGTATTTAAGCAGATTGTTGAGCGTGATATCTTGCATGAAATGGTTAAAATAGTAAAGAAGAAGGTGACTTTTCTTCACCTGAACTGTGGTATCTGATGTTTCTTTTTAATTTTCCCCCTTTCTGGTACTTACTACTTGTATGCTTCTTTCTGGTTTAACTGTGCAGCCTGATTTGAATGTGAGGGAAAAGATACTTATTTTGATAGACACATGGCAAGAAGCCTTTGGAGGATCTAGGGGAAGGTATCCTCAATATTTTGCTGCATATAATGAACTACGGGTGAGTGTTCAATTGTGCCTTTATGTACCCCTCTTTTCTTTTGTCACCTCTTCATAAGCAGCTATTTTTCCTAGCACAAATATTAACAAGCATGATCTTTTTCTGTCTAAATATATTAAGTTCAAGGTTTCCTGCACTTCAATCCCTTTAATACATCTCTTTAATTTCTTTTACCTTATATTTGAGCATAGAGAAAACAGGCTCTACTGTTTGGTTTGTAAATATGTGGTGGAAAACTGGAAAACAATAGTTTTCTCCTTTCCTTTTAATGTTTTCTAGTTTATTTTTTCTTGAAAAATGAACCAGATGAGCATGTTAATAGACAGGTTCTGGTGACTGAAAAGATTGCTATTATTTGATATATAACAATATATGCAATTTTATGATTTAAAGTTATTTGTGTCCATGTTTGAGAGATCATTGGTTGCTTATGCCGTTTGGAAAGTCAAACTTTCTGTCTAGTATTTTCTCCATCATGTCTTTCTATATCTGTTTCTTGAAGTTAACTTTCTTTTTGTATTTTTCAGGCTGCTGGAGTTGAATTTCCTCCTCGAGAAGAGAATACTGTACCATTATTTACTCCACCTCAGACCCATCCAGTAACTCACCACCCTGCTTCAATATATGAGGATGCTGCTATTGAGGCCTCTCTACAGTCTGATGCTTCCGGCCTCAGGTACTATATATTCTAAAGCCATTATCTTCTGGTTGTGGATCACATGCTTGTCTTTGACACATAACATGTTTGACAGGACAAAGATTTGGGAACCATTGCTTCACTCTAATTATTTTAGAATTTTTGCTTCTTAGTTCAATAATGATTTGGATTCATAAAATTTGTATCTGAAAAATCATAATTCTTTTGCTTGAATAACATCTCTATTCTCTTGCTTGTCATGTTTTATTTTTTGTTTATATATAAATTGTAAATTAAATGTGAATAGGAAATATATTTATATCTTCACAGGTGCTAAATTATAAACATTATAATTTGCATAATTATATCACAATTCTTCTTCTGTGTTCCTTGGCATGTTTTAATACATACATATATATATATTTATTTATTTATGGAAACTATAATGATGTATAAATCAATATTTGAATTTATTTTCTTTAATGGATCTAAAACTGATGCAGTGCATTTTGTGAAAACCTTTCTTTAAGCATCATACTTTTTTTAATAGTTAAGCTAATTAGGTAAATCATTCCAGATAACTTGTAGTTTGAAAATTTTGCTGGGTTTTAACCCACTGAAATGATTAAAAAAGATTGCTTGAGGCTTGATTTTTGATAGAGTGCTGTAGTCTTTTTAGAATCATCACCTTTGGTTCAAATATTTTTTCTAACTTTGGGACATAAAGCTTAGCTTTCCTTTTTTTTTTCTACTGGGTTAACCCGTAATAAAGCTTAGCTGCATCTCTCTTTCCATCTTCATGCATTAACATCTTTGCTGCTGACACATAAACTTCCATAAACTTCCTCTGTATACCTGCATTACTTCTGTTATAATATCCTCTAAAGTGATTGAACTTTGTCTATTTTCAGCTTGCCAGAGTTAGAAAATGCTCGTGGATTAGCCAATGTATTAATGGAAATGCTTAGTGCATTGGATCCTAGGACTCCTGAGGTAAAAACTGTCCCACAAATGGATCATTATGCTTGTTACATGGTCTATGCTGTTCTAATTTTTTCTGATTATATGCTTGCTGGTAAACGTTGATTACTTCTTTTGATGTGCAAATCACAGTGCTTTCATTTTCTTGTTTGTGTATTTAGTACCAGAGAAGTTTATCGTTCTGAGTGTTGGTATATTTATATGGGATCGGGTCCTTTAATCCTCTTCTGTTTCACTTAGAGCAATGTGCTTTCTTAATTCTTGGGAAGCAGTATCTGTATGGGTCTTCCTATTATTTTTCTCTGCCTTGCAGTTATGATGAATCAGTCCTCTGTTTCAATTGATTCTAAGTTTATGTACTCATGCTCAGAACATCTTCCAAAAGTTTTCCTTGTTTTATTATTAATGGATATTAAATACATTATGACTCCTTCAAATTGTGAGTTGTTGAAAACTGTAATATATGGTGCTACTGCTCTCCATCTGAATGTAAATCTTGTTCTTTCCCTGCCATAGCCTCTTAAATGGATTCTCTTTATTGAGTATATTACAAAGCTTATTGGATAGTCTCATTAATTTCTGTTTTCTGAGCTCTTTATGCATTGCCTATGTGTCTGGCTATAAAAAAATGTAAGTTGTGGTACTTAATTATGGGTCATCCTATTTTCTGAGCTTCATGACTTATTTCTGCTGCAACAATAGTTTCTAAATAAACGATTCTAATGCATGCCAGGTGATAAATTAATAAATAGTTTTTGCTTGTTTTGGATGTGCAGGCTCTGAAGCAAGAAGTGATTGTTGACCTTGTTGATCAATGCCGCTCTTACCAAAAGCGGGTCATGCTTCTTGTGAATAGTACCACGTGAGAATCTGTTTGTATCTTTGGCCGATTTCCCTCCTGTTAAATAGAATAATGCTTCTGATTGATTGTGCTTTTTCAGAGATGAGGAACTTTTATGTCAGGGGTTGGCCCTAAATGATAGCTTGCAGCGTGTTCTTCGCCAGCATGATGACATTCTGAAAGGAAGCACTGCTACCACAGGAGCAGTAGAAACTGCTGTTGTGCCACTTGTTAATATTAACCATGAAGATGATGAATCAGAAGATGAATTTGCTCAGCTGGCTCACAGGTGACTTAATCATGTTATTCTTCCTCTATTCCTCACTCCTTCCTTTCAAACATTTTTTTGCTAGTTTACTGAAAATATTTGCAATGTACCAGATTAGCCTTGCTCTTTCAAACCATGAAAAACTCTGACGAAGAAACTTCTACTAGTTATAGTTCATCTACTTGGCACACGGGAATGGTCTATGGACACTTTATTGCATTGTCTTGATCTGTTACACTCCCTGGTCTCCATTGGATTTTTTGTTTTCATTGGAAGAACATATTATAAATAATGAAACTTAATATAATTTATCGAATCCTGTACTCATTTATTACAGATCATCAAGGGACAATTCTCAAGGGCAGGGCAGGAGAGCACCTAACAATGAGCCTGGGCGAGTTGGTCCACTTCTTCCTCCTCCACCCTCATCAAAAAGGCCAGTTGCTACAAATGCCACTATGGTTGATTATCTTAGCGGCAATACCTACAAATCTGAGGATTCCCCTCAAACAAGAGTACCCACACCTTATTCCGCTCCTACTCATACATACACAAACTCCTCTCCACAGTTGATTTCAACTTTAGCTCCGTCATCTCCTCCTTCCCACTCTGCTGACTCTGGATCCTCACCTGTGTTCAGTAGACAGCCTATATATGACAAACCAGCTTCCTTAAGCAAATCTGCCGATGCTGAGCAGCTGCCTCCAGCTCCCTGGGACAGTCCTGCAGGAAACCTTCCACCACCGCCTTCAAGGTTTAATCAGAGACAGCAATTCTTTGGGCAACAACACGATTATACTGGTGGTTCTTCTCATTCCAATAATGGATCTGGTTCCTCGCATGACAGCTTGGTTGGACAAACTCAAAACCTCTCCCTTAATTCAACTACCCCAACCAAACAAGTAAAACCAGAAGATGCTCTCTTCAAAGACCTGGTTGATTTTGCGAAAGCCAAGTCATCTTCATCATCCAAACCCAATAGGTCATTTTGATCATCTGGGAGTAGTCTGCTTGGTTTTGGGTGTTACAGCTTGTGAACAGTTATTAGATCATCAGTTTTTTTGTATTAGATTAAAGAGGTTTCATGTTATTAAATAAACATGGGTTTGAACATTGCTTGTGGCCTGTCTATACCGTTTATTGGTTTAATTTTGAGACAAACTGCTCATGGGATATATTCATATATTTTACATATTTTAATACTGGGTGTATCATTTTTTCAGTTTAATCTTTCACCTGATATTTTAATACTATAATATATGGAGAAGAATCAAGTTACACGGGAAAAGTTTTACATCTTTTTAGTTTCTTTAAATCACTGATTTCAAGAGATTCAATAAATGAGATAAACAAGTCAAAAAATAGTTTAATTTTTTTTTTAAAATCTATTGATATTAATGGTGATAAAAATGTATATATTTAAAAAATTTTATACTGAATCTCTTCTCATAATATATATATATATATATATATATGAAATGTGGTATATAAAGGGGTACACAAAATAGTTTTAACTTTGTAAGGTATAACCAAAAGTTGATAATTTTGTAAAGTAAATATCGATATTTTAAAAATAAGAAAAGGATATTTATTTAAAAACTGTCCCAAATTAATTATTAGGAAAATGAGATCAATCAAATTAATTTATTCATGAAAAGATAATTACTACTTTAGGATGAAATGTAATAATTGTATGTGTATAAATTACGTTATTTAATTTCTTGCTGTTTTTCAAAATTGTTGTCGTGGCAAAATTCAAACAATAAGGAATGGATCGAAAGGGGTAATGCTAGATAAATCATCAGAGTTAATTACATTTTTTCATTTAATTTTTGAAAAATATACAAATTGATATCTAAAAAAAAGAAATAAAATATACAATTTGCATCATAAATTTTCAAATAATACATTATTTTAATTTAAATTATAATACTATTAACTTAATTCACTTATATAATATTTAATCAGTATATTTTATTATATGTTATTTGTTACATAAAAATATTAAATATTTTGAAAAAACTTTATATGAATGTCATATGGATAGTAAATGACAAATAATAATTGACCAATCATACATAAATTTTTGTATAATTTAAGTAAAAATATATTTTTAATTTATATTAAACAAAGATAATAATTGTATGTGTGATAAACATATACTTAAATAATATTTGACAAACATCATATAGATTAACTTATACGATTAGTGAGATTAAAATATGAGTTAACATGATACATAAATTAAAAGTTTAAAATATAAATTATACATTTTATTTCTTTAGACATCAATTTATATATTTTTCTATTTAAAATTTAGATAAAAAAATGTAATTAACTCTCATTATAAACCTATTATTGTTTCTTACCGTCGTATATAAAAGAAACATGTCAGAATGGTGATTGTATGATTGGACTCTCTGTATCTTACACGAACTTTTCACCTTTTTGGTACAAAAACATTGGGAGCGGACATGTTATTCTAATCCTTAATCGAGATAAAATGTGCGTCTCATAAAATTTCATCGATTACATTTGAGATTAGTACCAATGAATCTTGAATCCAAACATTTCATAACGAGGAGAGCAAAGTCAGTCAATTGAGGTAACACAAGTTGGTACAAACTTTTCACTTACCTTAATGTACACATGGTCCAACATTTTTTAAGACACTTACTATTCCAATGAGAACCATGCTTGATTTCTCAAATTAAAATAACGACAGAATTAAAAAAAAAAAAAAAAAGACTTACGTTCAAAACATCCTCTCCCGAGTCTATGGAGAATACTGCATGCAACTCTCTTATCATTCATTTATCTTTTGGATATATAACTTTGAATTTGAGTTAATACTTAATTGCATATAAAGGTCCATTAATGCGCAGGCAATGGAACTACGGAAAGCATGATCAATATTGATGATTCCAATTATAACTTCGACCTGAGGCAGCTGATCTCACCTAGACATATGTCATATATTTATAGACCCAACCGGTTTAAAATTGATGAAGGCTAAGACCTATACTCTTATTTGGTTTACATATATATATATATATATATATGTATACACATTTTGGTAGAAAAGGAAATAAAAACAAATTAAACCAAGGCATCATTCACCAGAACACAATAAAATTTTTGTAATTATAAGACCACAAAAATACATTCCCTTTATTAAAAGAAAAAAAAGAAATTATTTACATTCTAGTAAAGAAATATTAGAAGTAACTCATCGAGTATATATCCCTATAAACTTTGATTATTTCTAGTATATATATTATATTATTATATTATAGAACAAAAAAAATAAAAAGGACATACAATAAAAAAAAAATTACATAAAATTTTGTAGGTAAAATTGGTGAAGTTTCCTATTAGAATAAGTAAATTAAACTTAAAATTAAAAATCAAAATCGATATATTAAAATATTTTATCACATAAATCCAGCATGTAAAATTTGAAAAAATTTTTAATAAATTTTGATATATTTATTAAATAGATATTTTTAGTAAAAATATTAATAAAATTTTTATGGTCGAATAAATACTGATCAAATTTGAATTATAAATAATTTTTTAATATTTTTTATATATTATTAATTTTTACATTGAATTATATTAATTTATTAATTGAATTTTTTATTAAATTATTTATTTATTTATTTTTAATAAAATTTTTTTGCAAATTTCGGTTATAAAACTTACGTAACTTTTGTGTCGGACAACAAGAAGTTAAGCAACATTAGTTATTTATTGATTATTTATCATTAATGAAGCTTCTGCCATGCACTGCCGAACTGAACATATATTAATTATTTTATATAGAAAGAATAAGAAATGGCTAACTGTTGTTGCTGCTGCTAAGAAGGTGATGACCAATGAAGTATAGGCTTGCCTGCAGCTTAAGTTTTTCATACAAAAGGGCAAAGATCTTTCGCTTGATTCTTCCTCTATTAGGAGGAACTCGGCACCTCATCTTCCTCTTCTTATTCCCACCTTCAAGAACTGCTCTTTGACACTCCATTGCCGACTCCTTAATCTCAGTTATAATTTTCTTATCCATATGAGTGAAGAGACAGAGAAAATGGAGAGAGAGAGAGAGAGAGAGAGAACTGTATGGTTGCATGAGAAAATAATATTGTACCATTAATATGCTGCAAAAATGTAATTAACTTTTAAGAGGAGGAACCTTCCTGCCACTTTCATGCACTTTACAATAAATTTTTAAGAGGAAAAACGACTTTCATAAATAGTTACACAAGTCTACAAAATTTCCATAAGGGTATTCTGTTGCCAATGTTACGAATAATCTTAGTACTTTTATGTGTCGGTTTCTGGCAGAAATTGGTGATGTGTGATTCTCCCCTCCGGTGCGGCGGTAGCATTCTCACCGGGCTCCAAATGGAGCAGTAATATTTAGATCACTTACTGATAACTTGAATAAGTTAAGATCTATGCACATATACGAATATATATTAACCATATGGAAGGATCAGGTCAAATTGTATGGTTCCTGTCAGTAAAATTCCATATTTACACTTTCCCATTGAATCAGCTCTCATCATTTTGTTAAATTTAAAAAGAAAGCAAAATTAAGCACCGAATCCAACAATATTATAATCGTTCTGAAACTCCTTTCTAGTGCAAAATGGACCCGAAAATACATATATATCAAGATAAGGGTTACAGTATACCTCCACCCAAATCAAAACCAAACCTGAACTCATTACTCATTTATATAGTTTAGTCCAGTGTCAGAATTCAAGATATTCTTTTTTGTTTTCTTTGAAGGAAAATTTATGTTTTTATTGAAGAAATTTAGGAGCAAAGCATAGCACCCTAAGTAACACCCTAGAGGAGCCTAAACCCCAAAACAGACCTAATACAAGAAGCAAGCAACCCATACAGTACCCAAAAGCCAACTTAACAATTAATTTCATTTTCTTAATCTTTCAAAGCATCAACAGTTGAACTTTAAGACATTAAAAATTGGATTTATACTTGAATCATTTTAAGTATTCAATTTAAAATTAATTAATAACAAGTGAAAGAGTTCAACCTAAATATAAAATTATAAGATGTTAAAAATTTATTAGATATTAGGTAACCCACTTTAATAGATTCACATTACGTGTAGACGAAGATGGAATAAGCTTTTCATGTGACAAATTAAAAAAGAGCAATAGAAAAAAAATTTTAACTCTAATATCATATTAAACATCCAACTTAAAATCAATTAAAAATGATTAGAGGAACCCAATCTAAATATAAGATTACACGATATTAAAAATTTATTATATATAAAATAATCCACTTTAACAAAGCATTACAAGTGTATAAATATTATGTCATTAGTGTATTATATGTTACCACATTAATATTTTGTTTTATAATAATTAAATATTTAAAAATTTAAAATATCTAAATTTAAAGATTTCAAATTTTTAAATTTTTTAATAATTATGTGATAATTTATGATACATTGATAATATATAATATTATATATTAATAATATATTAAATATAAATTTTTAAAAATTATAGATGTAATTACCATGAATTCGATAGGGACAAGTCGCATTAATTCTTTTTGTTGCTAAGCAAGTCACATCGATTTATTACTACAAGCAAACAATAGCCCCTTTTATGGGGGGTTTCCATGCATCTACGTGGTATTTTTGCCACCATTCACCTGCCATTATACTAGCTAAAGAATATGTCCCTTTCGCTCGCCTCCTTCTTCTAAAATTTTCAACCCTTCCTGCCGGGCTTTTTCTTTCCAAATTTCCCTTCTTTAAGTTTGGTAATTTATTCCTCAGCTATCATTCCTTCTTTAAAAAAAAAAAAAAAAACTGTAAAAAGGCATAAAATCATTAAGGCAAGTAGGCAACTACGACTACATGCGTATTTTATGATTCGTATAAAGTTTCGAGTTAATTCGACTAATAATGCATTCACAATCTTACTAATATGTGAATATTTTATTTAATATTAAATGCATGTATTTTTAATTTTGAAGCATCCCCTTTTTCACCAAATAGAAAAAACAGTTGTGCTCTTAATTAATTGTGATTAACAAAAATACAATTGTATCCAAATTTAAATTTCATCAAATAACCAAACATATCGTAAACACCCAATTTGATTCAGGTCCGGATCAATTGGATCTGATCTAAATGAGTAGGTCTACATTATTTTTTTATTATTTTGTATTTTGTATTTT